AGACGTCCCCCCATTGCCATGGTAACAAGAAATTTACCATTGAGCATGCTGTAACAGAGGCTATGGTGTAGTTAACATTTGTGCCAAGTTTCATTAGTATTGAAGCATTTTTCATAGTTTCATAGCAGTTTGAACTTGTTACAGGAGGCTTTTCAATGAAAACGGCCATTTTTCGCAATATGCTCATGGGGTAAAAGGTTAAGTTATATTTTCTTTTCATTTGTATTCAATCAAACCCACCTTCTGTGAAAATTATATTTCATAATTTCTCTGTAAAATTTTCAAAATATAAATTCACTGTCTATACTAAAAAACATGCAATACATGTAAATCATTTTATCTTTTTTTGATTTTTAAGATACTATATAATTATACAAGGGACTGTTCCAGCACATCCCAAGGAAAATTATTTTGAGAAATTTATAGTACATGAAAATGCATTTATAAATTCATTGGTGCATGCATTTTATGTTAAGTCATGTTTTAAAGTAACTCAGATGATAGGAAAAGTGTTAAAATATGTGACTGACCAGTCTGAATATATTATACAACATATTTATAACTGCTCACACCAGTGTCACCTTATATATTTCATCAGAAAATTTTACATATTTGAATAATCATATAAAGCACCATATATCCTATAGTACCATTACCATAAAGAAGGACATCTTTGTTGGTGCACTTTTCATGAACAGAATCCTTTTTTTTGTAATTTTAAGTATAGCATTTTAAGTGTGCCCTTAGTAAACCGGATGCCGATAGGCTTGAAATTAGAGCGGGTGCACCTATTACCGAACACTTAAGCCGCGTTTTATCTCGGTCGGAATTATGAGCACTTTAAACTAAAGAGAGACAACTCTTTAATAGATTAGTAATTATGCTACAATTTTGGCCAGTATTAGAACCCTATCGAATACAAATAAAGGCGTTATCGTCCGATCAAAAGATCTACCAACTGCCCCTAATACCGAATGATGATTGTAATTCCGAACATTGGTGTTCCTAATTCCGAACATGAGGAACTTTTTAAAATAAATATGTTGAGTAAACAAATACATACCATTTTCGTACTTTGGCACAAATCTACATTAGAAAAGAGTTTTGTCAATCATCAAAGTATTTTTAAAATGTTAATTTTATTAAACATATTCATTTCTGCAACACAAGTATTGAATGTCAACGAAAAGGAAAATATATAGTTTGAATAACAAAAAATAGGATTCAAACAATATATTCAAACATATTTTAAGCGACAATATTATTACTACAGTTTGCATCAAGAAATCTTCTATATGTAGAGAATATATGTTGTTGCACTAACACTAACAGTATTTACATTCAAAAGGAAGATCATCCGAGCAGTCGGTAAGTTCATCGGCAACACAAGTAAGAAAAAAGCGCCTGAAACAATTTATGCACTGTATATAGTCCTCATAAAGTGTTTTGCACTTAAAACAGCTTGTAGGACTTACTGCAATATTATCATCTGAAGCGTATGCCTCAATTTCTTTTATGATCTGTTTAGTCTCTTGCTTCATTTTCTCCTTCAGTTCTCTCAGCTTTTTCTTCGCCTCTTCTCTATCCTTCCGTTTCTTTTCGAGTGCAATCTGTTTTTCTTTCAGCTCTTTGGCTCTCTTGAGATTATTTTGTAATCGTTCTTGTTTGTTTCCAATTCCTTTTCTTTCTTTTCTTATTTTTTCGTTCAACCATTATCTGTACTTTCCCCTGTTGCTTTTGGCATTTTACGTGCTTTTGGTTTCTTTGTTTCAGTCTTTGGGAATATTAAATGTTTGCTAAATGGTGACATAGATACGTCTGTTGCTTTAGGAACACATCCATCCGAAGATTTTGATGGTGTTGTAATAGAATCAGTCGTAATGTTAGGTGTCACAGTAAACATGGAGGCAGTTGATGTATCTGTCGGGCAGTTGATGTAGCAGTCGGCTCCATTGAGAGAGACACGACTGTGATTGGCTTAGATGGAGTGGTGACTAAATCATTTAAAGCTGTAGGTATTTCATCAAGCACAGATTCGTTTACAATATCTGACGGCGATAATTTACCAGCTGATGTAGGAGGAGTCACAGCTGCTGTAACAACAGTAGTTGCTGTAGTTATTGAGTCCAATGGGGTGAATCATTCTCTTTCAACTTTTGTTCGGAATTTGGAACATTCAGTGAGTTCAGTATGTAATTCCGAACACTGCCAGTGATTCATTCATACGACCTTAAAACATGTACAGGGGCTTCACACATGATTTTTATTTTTGTCTACATCATTGATTTCAAAAGAATTTGACTAAAGCATCAATATTCAATATTTTATGATATTAGTAAAAATTTGTAAAAAATTAGCTAATAAATAAAATGTCTAACCAAAAATTGAAGTAAATCCTTGAATGCCCAAAATCACAACAAACAACACAACCGCGAATTCAAAATGTTGCGGGTGGAAAGAGAGACAAAGTGACGTTATAATAATGATTTCACTTTTTTGAATTGTGTTAAACATGAAATATTAAATGAATTATAATATTTTGGTCGGAATTAGGAGCATGTTCGGCATTAGGTGCACCCGCTCTATATCTGGAAAGATAAATTTTAAAGGTTGTTATGCAGCTTATAAAGTGAAGCAGGATATTCTTTGGAAAAAATGGCATATATTATAATCTCCGTTGTTCCTGTAGGGGTTTTTCCGGCTGACTAATTTTGGGCTCGTTATGGCCATTAGATTAAAAAAGCTTTATGGTCTGTTAATGATTTTTGTGTCTCCTGCTACACAGTAGCTGCAACTAGCTACAAAGTATCAGCGACATATAGGGAACAAATCCTGGTCAATATTTACCCCTCACTACAGCTGCTTTATAATTGGCTATCATCAGGAGACATGTGATCACTAATTGCTCTTGACTGCTTAACTATGTGTTTGCTCTAAGGATTAATCCAGCTCATAACAATAATGACTCAAGCCAAAGCTTATGTTTAAAGCCCCATTTTCTAAAAGACAATTTAATATAATATAAATGTTCCATTGGTAAGTTTTATTTAGAGTGAAATAAAGTTTGTTTTCCAAAATTTGATTTAGAAACTTAAGTAAGATTTTTGGATCTGAACATTCAGACCTACAAATTTCAGTTGATATTTTGATCTCCTTTTCATATTTCTTTTTATGTAATCTAGAAATATTCAGCAAAGATTCAGACATCATTCTGAAATGCGAGTTTACTTATCTAAATACATGTAAATTTAGAAATATTAGTATAAAACAAAGATTTCTATATTTTGAAACATTTAAAGAGTCTCTTATCTGATTCAGAAATAATAACACCAAAGATTCAGATATTTTTAGATGACTGAAAAATTATTTTCTAATTCAAAAATATTCAGAAAAAGTGTCAAACGTGTCAAACGTGTCAAACTTTTTTAGTTCCAATAAATTTTTATTACTTGATTCAGAAATATTCATAATAGAGAATTTTGCGCATAATGATTCAAATATATTTTAATATGCAAATTTAATTTAGATTTAGACAAATTTAGACAGGCACTGCCATAAGAAATAAGGATATATTATATACAATAAGTTTTCATTGAAAAGTGTCCTGTTACAAGTTCAAACTGCTATGAAACTATGAAAAAATTCTTCAATACTGATGAAACTTGGCACAAATGTTGACTGGACCATAGCCTCTGTATCAGCATGCTCAATTTTAAATTTCCTGTTACCATGGCAACGGGGGACATCTCAAAATTGCCAAAAATCATGTTCATTGTATTTATGCCCCCCCCCCCTGCGAAGAAGAGGGAGTATATTGTTTGCTAATGTCAGTCTGTTGACTGTTGGTCTGTCTGTCTGTCTGTCTGTCCAACGGTAGACCACATGGTTTCCGCTGATTATCTTGAGAACTTTTTATCACAAAGTCTTCATATTTCACATAGCGATTGGTCATAACTAGTAGATGACCCTATTGATTTTGGGCTCACTAGGTCAAAGGTCAAGGTCACAGGGGTCTCAAACGTCAGAATGGTTTCCGCTGATTATCTTGAAAAGTTTTCATCACAAAGTTGTCATATTTCACATAGTGATTGTTCACAACTATTAGATGACCCCTATTGATTTTGGGTCACTAGGTCAAAGGTCAAGGTCACAGGGGCCTTAAATGTCAGAATGGTTTCCGCTCATTATCTTGGTAACAATCATCGCAGTCTTCATATATCACATATTGATTGGTCATTACTTGTTGATAACCCCTATTGATGTTCAAGTATTTATCACAAAGTCATCATAATTCACATAAATTATTTATTGTTCATAACTAGTTTATGATCCCTATTGATTTTTGGGTCACTAGGTCAAAGGTCAAGGTCATAGGGGCCTTGAATGGTAGTATGATATCCGCTTGGTTACTATTTATCACAGTCTTCATATTTCACATCTTGATTGGTCATAACTAGTAAATGACCCCCATTTATTTCAGGGTCACAAGGTCAATGGTCAAGGTGACAGGGGCCTTAAATGTCTGAATGATTTCACTGATTATCTTTAAAAGTATTCATCACATTAAGTCTACATATTTTACGTATTGATTGGTCATAATCAAGTAAATGACCCCAATTGATTTTGGCATCACTAATATATTAAGTATTTATTACAGAATCATAAGGTTCTTTGAATCCTTCAGATTGAACAAAGATTCAGTTCATTTAAGATATTAATGGTAGCGTTATGGGGGTTTTAAAGTAAATTAAAGCAACATTATAAATATATAAATATCTGTGTAATAATTTAAACTATCAGATATATTAAACTTGTAAATCAGAAAAATGTTTGATAACAAAATTTCCTCATCATACAGTTTAGTTCATTTATCTTTAATATGATAATACATGATGTCACAATTTATGAATATATGGATAGATATATACATATATATACCTTTATCTCGTACTGACAGACTGTGATCATCTATTAGTATATCTTCATTTGAGCTGCAGTTGTGTTATATTAGGATAAAAATTTTACTAATCGAAGTACCTGTTATAATATATGGAATTTATTGTGAATGAAATACAGTGTCTAGAATTTGGATATTATTATTAAATAAGGAGGAATTGAAGCTTTTGTGTATATATTTCTGTTGAATAAAGATTTAACTTGAAAGGTATTAAAGATAAAGTAAATTTTACAAGGTGCAATAATGAGTGTCCGAAAGGTGAGTTTAAAACTTTATGAATTTTTAATATTACAATTTTAGGAAACATTTTCTACAGGTAGATAAATATTCTCTTCATGGCAAAGTCGTGAAACAAGTTGAAAAGTACATCAATCCTGATGAACATGTAGACCATTTTTCAGTCAATTAGAACAGTTTTAGAAAAAAGACCTTAATAAAGTAATTTTAATTTCAAAGCTCAGACCAATCATATAATTATGTTTTGAGAAAAAATATGATTTTGAGCAAGATGAAGGTCACAGACCTGACTGGACAGAAAAATTGTGAAGGATGACACACTTATGCTGTAGTATATAAGTTAGAGAATGATGGCATGTTTAGCTATTATAAGTATTACCTAGAGAATTAAGTGTGACATGTTTAAAAGCTATAGTGTTAGCTACAGAAGGATTAGCTATAGTATAGCTAGAGAATTAAATGACAATTGTTAGCTTTAGAATTTGCTAGGCTAGAGAATGATGGCATGTTAGATGTAGCATTAGCTAAAGAATATTGACAACTGTTAGCTATAGTATCAGCTAATTAAAATGATGGCATGCTAGCTATAGTAATTAGCTTAATAGAAGAGTAATATGTTAGCTATAGAATTAGCTAGAGAATCATGGTAATTGTTAGCTATAGTATTTGCTAGGCTTAGACAATGATGGCATGATTGCTGTAGCATAAGCTAGAGAATATTGACAATTGTTAGCTATAGTAATTGCAATAGAATGATGGGAATTGTTAGCTATAGTATTATCTATAAACTGATTGCATGCTAGCTATAGTATAAATAGCTTAAGAGAAGAATAATATGTTAGCTATAGAATTAGCTAGAGAATTATGGTAATTGTTAGCTATAGTATTTGCTAGGCTAGACAATGATGGCATGATTGCTGTAGCATTTGCTAGAGAATATTGACAATTGTTAGCTATAGTATTTGCTATAGAATGATGGGAACTGTTGGCTATAGTATAAGCTATAACTGATGGCATGCTAGCTATAGTATTAGCTAGAGAAGAGTAATATGTAAGCTATAGAATTAGCTAGAGAATTATGGTAAATGTAAGCTATAGTATTTGCTAGGCTAGACAATGATGGCATGATTGCTGTAGCATAAGCTAGAGAATATTGACAATTGTTAGCTATAGTATTTGCTATAGCATGATGTCATGTTAGTTTTAACTATAGAAGAGCTTTAGAAGAGTGACATGTTAGCTATTATAAGTATTAGCTAGAGAATTATGGCAATTGTAAGATTATGTATATAAGCTATAGAATGCTGGCATGATAGCTATTATTTAAATGATTTTTCTACAGATGGTTGAAAATGAAATATTGTAGCATAACACCTAGGTTAAATATTAAATAGCTTATACTTTAGTCTTGTAATAATTATTAGTTTGAAGAACAGAAATTATAAAAGATACTCAAGGAAATGGAATTTTTCTAGTGTACACTTCGTTTTTATTATCTATAACATTTCATGATCCAATAAAACATTAAAAAAAGACAATATAACTTTATCAGTAATAAAAACTTCCTGGTTATTTTTTCTCTTTGTTTATTTTTATTATTTATTGAATTTTGTTATCTTGATAAAATTGGATGACAAATCAATTGTAATGTATCGTGGTGCTTTATAATGTTATACTTAGAGTCACAGTGTAATTAGGAGAATCGTGTTAACTTGTTATATAGCTTGTTAATTAATAGGAAGTGAAATATATGTGTTGATTCAAAGATATTATATGTTATAATTATAATATATATTCAAAGGATTATTGGGATCATGGTAGTGTTTTCTTTGTTAATGTATTAATATAATGATTTAATATTTATATGTGATTACTCAGTTTTTGTTGAAATAATGAATTTGACACTCCAAGAAATTGAAGGAGTAATAATTGTCACAATATGTGACAATAACACTACTATATAGCAGTAGTAGTAATATATAAGGACTTACTCCAGAATTAAACATATTTTGGGTCTAATCCCAGCTATTCCTGGGTAGAAACAAACTTTTCCAGTTACAGCTTGGAAAATAAGTGCTACTAAGTTTGAATCATCAATTGTGACCAGAAGTGCACATGCATGATTAAAGTTTGTTTGTACCAGGGAATTTTAATGCTAGGAAAAACCCAGATTTGCCGCGTTCCGGCTTACAACTATTGTTCTGACTATTATAATATAAATAAACAGTTAAATTAAAATGTCCTGTATTTTGACCATCATGTGAAGTCATGTTCTTGCATGGTCATATATGATTGTAGTCTAAATGTTCTGGGTGATAAAGGGTAACAGTCATATATAAATGTTACAGGGATAAAGATTTGTGACATTAAGCTAACAATGAGTTGTTATTAATAAATGATTACAATCATTTTATAGTGTACTAGACTAGTTTTATTTATTTATGATCCTTTGTAGATTATAACAATTTGTTCACACTTTAAACACAATATACTAATAAAATACTCTAGAATAGTCTTATTTCTGAAAAGATGTTATTCGGAACTGACTGCAATTGTGGGTTTTTAAACAGTTTAAATCCATATAGGTACGAACAAACTTCACGGTCCACTATCCATCATAATAGATTAGTCAACCTGTTGCACTTATTTTCCAAGCTGTAACTTTGAAAGTTTAATTGTTTGCACCTAAAATTAGCTGGGTAAAACCCAAATATTTTTAATTGTAAAGTTTATAATCTATTAAGAATATTTTGGGTTTTTCCAAGCTAATCCAGGGCCCTGCAGTTACAGCTTTAAAAATAAGCAGTTTGATTAATTGAGTGTGACCGGTTAAGTGCACCGTGAAGCTATAACACTAGAATTTTGTTTGTATCCTGAGATTTAGCTTGGAAAGACCCACATTAATGCGGTGTTGAAAAGATTCAGTTGTCTGCTTTGCATAGAAATTTCTAAAGAAGTTCAGACAAAATGGTTGAAGATAGCTAGAAGAATACATGTTATAACTCATTTCTTTTCAATATGGCCACAAGAAAGTTGTGTATTTTTTTCAATGTATCATGAATATCTATAACTTGTATTCTAATTATCTTATTTTGTACAATTAATATGTAAGGTGACCCTTTTTACCAATTTTTACTTTTCTGTTATTTCAATTGTCTTTTTTCAATGTAACTATAACTTGTATTCTAGTTACAGTAAAAACTCTAAAAACCGGACCCTGTCCGGACTTGACCAAAAGTCCGGTTTTCAGAGGTTTTACACATTTATTGATAATTAATTATAATGTGTTTGAACAATGACTTTGTTCAAACATTTTGTATTCATTTTTCATACCTTTTGTCTAAGTCATATTTTAATTTCTTTTTGCAATAAATGTCTTTTAGTAATTTTATTATGCAAATCCATGAATATAATTCTGAAAATCAGAAATTAAAACAACACATTGTCTTAAATATATCCTTTAATTGGTTTTTGAAATATGTAATTAATGTAATTTAGTATTACTATTTTTGCATTTAATTAATATCCAAACAAAGATAACTTCAAGGTCAAAATTTTAAGCAAAATAGGAATCATTTAACAATGGTTCCCCAATTCTTTTAGACATTTAATATTAAAAAAAAACCACACAACAAATTTAAAACATTTTGAAAAATCATACCTATACAGAGAAAGACACAATTATGATAAAAGAGCTTTAATTAGGTTGGCAATAAAAAATTAACACACACTGACAAGTGTTTTAACACCTGCATAAATAAGAAAGACATGATCATTAATTGGTAATTGAACATGTCACCAGTTAAGATTATGTTTAAATCTACATTAAAATACACAGAACATTGACACATAAAATTGCTGTCCAGTTTTCAGAGGATTTTTTATGCATGTTTATCATTAGAAACAATAGAAAATCGTCCAGTTTTCAGAATTCAGAGGTTCCGGTATTCAGGGGATTTTTTTCAATGAACATATAAGGACAAAATACGGAACTTTTAAAATGGTCCGGTTTTCAGAGGATTCCGGTTTTCAGAGGGTCCGGTTTTCAGAGTTTTTACTGTATCTAATTTTGGACCTACCCTTTTTACCATTAAACTTTTCTGTAATTTCAGGCAGGTGGAGGTGACAAGAAAGAACATCTGTATAAAATATTGGTAATAGGTGAGCTAGGGACAGGTAAAACATCAATAATCAAACGATATGTACATCAGTTCTTTTCTCAACACTACAGAGCAACTATTGGTGTAGATTTTGCCTTAAAGGTCATTAATTGGGACGCTGAGACCATAGTGAGGCTGCAGTTATGGGACATTGCAGGTACATACATGTATATTTAAACTATTTATTTATTAAGTTCATTTTTCTTTTTTTATGTGCGGAAGCAATCCACCTGTATGGAATGTCAGTTGTTCTACCCAAGTGCCAGTTCCTGGCTGAAATAACACATCAGGTCATCTTCCGTCAGTAAAGCTGGAAAGTTGGGATGTAAAACCCAACCAAAAAGAAGAAAAACATTCTCCAACAGTAAGGCTGAAAAGTCGCCATTTGGCCTATAATACTGTGTTGGTGGGATGTAAAACTAAACAAAACAAAAAATTTGTTCTTTTCAAGGAAATACTAAAAATATTTCATCAGTGAGATATATATTATATCACATTGTTTGAAACTGAGTTATTTAAATACATAATGAAATATAATATTCAATTAGAACAATTCATAATAGATGAAGATTTTCATGATGTCATGATAACACCATAAAAATTAGCATCATTGGTGGCATGACAAAGTGGTTAATACATCAGCTTATTATTGTATTAATCTAATAATCAATTTGGAACCCCAGAAGTGGGGATTCTACCCTATTTAGTGGGGAGCTGTTACCTCCTTGCACAAGAAACTACACTAATTGCTAAGTACTGTTTGATTCAAAGAACATATTTGTGAGTGTGTCTTTAAGCTTAAATTAATCTACATTGTAAATGATGCTTGGCTTGAGAGGCAGACACGTTAACAACTAGGCCACTGTTCCTTAGCTACATGTACATGCAGATAGTAAAGTATGGTAGATGAGTAAGGCATGTGTCAAAAATAATGTTCAAAGCATGATTGTTTGTTGTCTTATGACTTATTCAATGTAGATGGTGTGACAATAAATCCTATTATCAGGGCAAGCACTAAATAATATACTTATTGGTGTAATGCAGTTTTTATAGCAGCTTTGTACATGTAGTATAAAAGTATTTAAATATGTGTGCATATTTGTAACTTTATGAACTTTGAGAATCTAAAAACAGTGTCAACATTTGCAATGTTACGACTTAAACAATGTGTACATTTATGATGGTGATTGTATCTAGAGACGGCTTGCCTTAGTTATGATAATTATTTGATATTTTGATATCTATATTAAGGTTATTAAGCTGTATTTTCAAAATGTTTTATTAAATTAAAAAAAAAAAAAACAGTAAAATTATATTATTTCTATATTTTTAAGGTTGATTCTTGAAAGAGTTGTAACATAAAATGTCACTGTTATTAATTTTAAAACGCATGAAAAATGTACATATAAGAAGACAGTATAAAATGTTCCAGAATAAAAAATTATGTTGCTATATAAATTAGGGTTTTATTGGTTAAGCAATGATTTTGTACATGCATTATTCAATATTAAGGCAATATTCTTCCATAATTCTCTGTCATACAGGTTTTTTTGGAAGTATTCTTCTTCAAAATTCAAACAATAATTTTTGCAGTAGGCATAATTTATACCTTTATATTTGATATTTCTATGACATATGTTTTCAGGTCAAGAAAGGTTTGGAAATATGACTAGGGTGTATTATAAAGAGGCAGTGGGAGCATTTATTGTGTTTGACTTGACTAGAGCATCAACATTTGATGCTGTTACAAAGTGGAAAAATGACCTTGACCTCAAAGTTCAACTTGCAGATGGGAGACCTGTGCCATGTGTTCTTTTAGCCAATAAGGTTTGTCTGTGTTCTTGTTGTTTCACTGTATACTGGTTTGCAGTTGAGCTAGATAATTAAATTGCATGTAACTGCAGTGAAACCGTGGCAATGTCATGTATAAAACATGTTCCATACTCTTTTCCATACTCTTTTCCATCTTATTGTCTTAAAGGAGATAAAAGACCTAAAATTTAGAATATTCTTAATTTGTGGCTGTGGCCGAGTGGTTAAGGTTGTTGACTTGCCCCTCTTGCCACTAATGCCCCTGACCACCGTGGGTTCAAAACCCAACAGAGACTTTGAAATCTTGTCAGTGAGGAAGCTATCCACCTAGCTTACACATTGTTGGTGGTTCTACTCTACTGTCAGTTTGTTCCTGATATAATTCACAGAATGGCACTTGAAGTTGGAAAATTGTCATATGATCAATACTGTGCTGGTGCATTGTTACATAAAACCCCACCAAAAAAAATGAATCAAGTGGAAAAACCTACAATACACAATGAAGAAATACAGTTGACTCTCGATAACTCGAAATCCAAGGGACTGGGCATTTTACTTCGAGAGAAACGGAATTTGAGTAACGTGGATCTGCCGCCATTACGTTGACATTCGTACTTGTATATACATGTACCTTATTGAATGTGCAAAGAAGTAGGTTTGTTATTGTTGATAGCGGCAATGCTGCAATATTTAACCGTCGAAATGACTGTAAATCACTTACAAATTATAAATGAACAAAGAAATATTATTCAAAATTTAATACATGTATATTAATAGTGAAATATAAACACAAGCATTCGTAGCAATGACATAAATGCAAGTTTGTCAGTATTCATCAGTACTTAATGCACATGCTTTTAATACGCACTCATGATAATTCATTACAATAAAAGAACAATAACACATTTATTTCAACAACAATTTATCTAATGTTTGAAGTAAATTGATCATCGGACGAAAACGAAAGTAGCAACTATCGTGAACCGGAAGTACATATTTATGTATGCAATATGAACCGGAAGTACATAATAATGTTTGCAATATGACGGCAAATTAATTATAAAAATGTCATTTACGTTGAAAACACACATCAATACCTAGGCTGGCACAATTAAATTAATTAAATCTTAATTTACTTATCTAACTGTTAAAACCAATTAAGTCCTGAAACCGATTAAAGCCACTTTCACGACGTGCTAATAATACATGATGACCGGCAATTAAAATTACTATGAAACGTGTGATTCACGAGTGACAACATCTCAACTTGATGTCGCCGACTTTTGATCAGTCAGCTGTTTTCACACTTCTACAATATGTTAGACTTTAATTGACGGGACCAAATTTTCTTTTCGACTAAACAGGAGTCTCGGTAAGTCAAAATTTGACCTAAGCGGAGTTAAAATACAAAGATAAAGAAGGAAATTTGACGGGACTTTAGAAATTCTTCGACTAACGCGGAATTTTGTGTAAAGCGATTTTGACTTATTGAGAGTCAACTGTATACCATAAGTTAGTTTGAAAATATTGATTTAATGTGTGATTCTCACTCTGATTGGAGCTCCGAGGCCCTGACATTGCTGTGTACTATTTCCTGATTAGTGTCTGCCATTTTCAGTGCTTTAGCACTTTGATTATTGCTGCATTATGAGACAGAGTTTGTATTTTACAGTGTGATCAACCTAAAGAAGGATTAATGAATAACACATCTCAGATAGATGAATTTTGTAAAGAGAAAGGGTTCATTGGTTGGTTCGAAACATCAGCAAAGGAGAATATAAATATTGATGAAGCAGCTAGATTTTTAGTTACTCAGGTAAGAACTTTTGCTTACTGACCATATCCTGCTGGATCTAACCATGCTTTAAGAAGCCTTGTTGTTAGGGTACATACCATTCAACACGGGGATTGGTGGTTTGAGTCTTACTGGCAGGTCACCAAACGTTGGCTGTATGTCAGAGTGGTTAAGAATTAGGGATTGGTATAATCTAAAAATTGCTGGCTGCATGGGTTTCAAACTCACAAGGGGCAACGTGGCTGCTCAGACTATGTGTGTCTTGTCACTTGAAGTATGCATGTGACATATTTATTGTGTAACAAGTGCACAACTACTTCTCTCTGTATATAATAGATCTGACAACTGCTTCATGGAATCAAATATTTTTCTCATTGGTACTAGAGTGTTTTCTTGCATATCAGAGAGGACTTTCTTCTGTTTACAAATGTGCAAGAAAAAGACTTGTGTAACAAAGCATATTGCATGCTTTAAATGATGTTGTTCTGCCAATGTCATTAATTCATGTTAAAGATGACATCATATTTTTTATTTTAAGTCATAATGAATGAAGTTGTTAGACTAACACAAAGGAAAAAAAGTTCAATATAGTTTTTGTATTTTCTTCCAAAAATATGATTTACATAATATTTGTATTTTATTGTATTGTATTTGCAATGTATTTGTATTGTATTTGCAATGTTTTTGAATTGTATCGTATTTGTATTGTATTTGTATTGTATTTGCAACCTATTTGTATTGTATTTGTCATGTTTGTAATGCATTTGTATTGTATTTACAATGTATTTGTATAGTATTTGTATTGTATTTGCGATGTATTTTTATTGTATTTGTTTTTTATTGTATTGTATTTATAATTTGAATTAAAAAAAACATACACTGGCTGCTTACTGTGTTGACAGATAGGATTATTCGGCTCTCAGGTTACTGTTTAACTGAAACTCAACTGTGCTGTGTCAGAGCCTTGTTACTGCTGTAATCAATTACCCTCGAGCTAGCCGTAAAGTGTAAGATTCATATGTTATGACATTGCCGTAATCTTTACAATTGTTTCTATTTTTAGGTTTTACAGAATGATAAGGCGATGAAATCTGAAGACTCAAAGGATCGAGATAAAATAACACTAGATGATACTGATGGGGCGGATAATAAAGAGAAAAAAGGATGTTGTTCATGAAAAACAACAACAACAATTCTAATTAATATTTAAATTACAAACTTGGTATAACAGTATCTTTAAGTAAGGCCAAGTAAAAAGGTTGTTTTATAAGAAAATGTTTGTTTAAGGTCATGTTAAAGAAAAAAGAAAAGAGACGAGATGAAAGGTTTAACTTTTTAGACTTATTGTAAAAATGAAGAAATTGAGTGAAAATGGATATGATTTCAAAGTTTTGTTATAATCAATATTAAGTTGAAAAAATATTTCTAGGAAGTTGTAGAATGATATTCTTCTAACTGCAATCAAGTGTCTTTAAAGCCATATTTTGCCATTGGAGGACAAATATATATGCAATACATAGGTGCTGTTCTTCCATTCTGTATGGGTATTGCCCTGGGGATGTTAATTTAAGTCTTAAAAAATGACAATAAAGCAAACAACAGTAATTTTAATCTTTAATGTGCAGTTATTGTTTAAAAATTGTAAAAACAGCAATAGAAGAAAATTGTTTGTATTTTTTTTTGTACTATGGAATATTATTTCAGATTTTTTTTTACTGAAGGCTGTATATACCCATTTGGAGTAAAATTTATGGAGAGTGTCAAAGTTGCCAAGATTTCTACAAGCTGACTGGAATATAACTTTATAAAAATGGGAATAACAGATTTGTATAAATGCACATTGATTTTATGTTTTTTGTAGGAACTGATTTGTTTTTATCATTTTAGAAAATATAAAGTAAAATACTCATCCATTGCTCTTTTTTAGCTTACCTGACCAGTGGTCAGGGTGAGCTTTTGTGATCTTTTCGGCTGTCCATCATCAATGGGTCATCCACTATTTCATGTCCACCCACTAATAGGCACCTTGAGTAGACTGCTGTCATTCACTAGATTCAAAGTTAACAATGCTACATGATATTTTTCTACTTTTCTTCCATGTGAATGGTGTTAAGTTTCTTGTATGAATCTTGAATGGGGTTTTTAAGGTCATTGAATTTATGGTCTCTGTGGTTAAAACAAAATTATTCTTCCTTACACAGTGTTAAAGTTGCTTTTGGTTGTATTTCAGTTAAACATTTAAGGACAAACCTGTTTCTCTTAAAGATTCCAGAGTTGAAATATGCATTGTTTAAAATATCAACATAGTAGTGGTGTCACAGTCAATAAATTATACATCGGAAATCATAAAACTTTGGCAATGATATGCAGGTGTGTCACTTGAGGTAATCACAGCATACAATCTTACATTCAATATGATGATTGAAGCAAGACAATCTGGGGTCTCTTTTACATAAAATAAAAAAAATGAAAGTTTGTTATCTGTAAACTGTACATTCAAACATGTGTAAAAGACTACCTCTTGATAAAGATCGCCCTGTAAATATTGGTCATTTTTAACAGCCATTCATTAATTTAACAGAACAGAGTAACCCTCAAAATAAAGACCACTTGTCTATAACAGCCATGTTAGATGACCTTTGTTAACAGGTTTAACTGTATGGTGAACATTTGTTTTTGATTAAAAGTTTAAAGTTGTAACAAGTGTTGTGAGTAGCATCAGGTACAAGTTTTTTTTTTAATTATTTTTATTATTTTTAGCTATTTTGTCATTTATAATCACATCTTGTTTGTACTCCTTAAATTATTGTGTGTGAAATTTAGACTATACATTGATGGCTGGTCCAATTTGGAACTTCTGAAAGGGCAATATGAAATATATTAAGAGCATAGAAAAGCCTTGCTAAATAAATGAACTGCTTCAGAAAGCAAGAATATTTAAATGGTGGCATGTCATATTTTATTTACTGTTATTTTTAAATGACATTTTTTTTTTGAAGCAAGAAAAATCAAATGAACTGTGAATTCCCAACTTTACCATTAAATAAAACATACAAATTTGGGGTAAAACACATATTTAGAAATTCAGTTTTCACTAACATGACTTTGTTTGCCATGCTTTTTGATCACATTATTTACTCTGTGCCATTCTGTATACCAAGCTGAATAGATAGAATAAGTTGACAAAACAAACTGTTGGCAGAGAGCTTTGCCTCTTTTTGGCATTTCTTCCATTTTGCCAATTGAACCAGCCATTTACATGTTCAATACTATAAGAATGTTACACTGGCTGCTGGTACAGACTGGAATATCTAGCTCGAGGGTAACTGTTTACGGCCGTAACGAGTCTCTGCCGAGTTTCCGCTAAACAGTTACCCGAAAGCTAGATACTCTGGTCCGGTCTAGATACAGCCAGTGTTTGATTCTTTTTCTTACATACTACATGTCAATTATTTTCAGAACAAAAATTACGAAATCTAATATTTTCATTACGCACTTTTTTCTTATAGTAGCGTATGACCTTACAAACTTCATTCATAATGGTAAAATGACGTCATCCATAGAACGCAATTCATTCAAATGACGCCCGGCAATGATGTCATTTAAAGCACGCGACTTGTCTTACATGGGGGGAGGGGGTGTAAGACAGGGTTTTCTAGCACCGGTGTTAACGGAGATAATCCTCTCTGATATGCAAGAATACATTTTCTGCCAACTTTTTCTGTATTTAATTTGCATAAAAGTTTGTATATGACTGTATGTTATATGACCACTTTGGTATAATGATGAATTGTCACTCAGAAAAGCAAATTTCTCACAAGGACTTTTAAATTATTTAATCTTATTCCGGATTTTAAATGTTTATCAATAAATAATAATATGCTACTTTGTTTAATATTTTTAATATTGACCTTGTACCTTTCATATTTGAAGAATATAAAATAGATAATAACTTTATATCAAATATAGTAGTTGTAATTTTACATGTTATTTTTGTTGTAATAATTAATTATGCGTTATCATGCTTATTAAACTTTGTTGAATTATAGTCATAAAATTTCCTCATAGTTGCAATATGCATACTCATGTTCATCGAATGATAGATATAATATTTTAGCTTAAAGATATTTAGAAGGGTTAAAGTGAACAATGTTATAGTGGTTATTTTACATGTACTGAGCTCATGTTAACTCATTGTGACTTTCCATCTTTTATAGTTAGATTATAAGTGAACTTAAAGGGACTCCTCTGAGGTTTTTTGATATGATGGGGCTAGGAATAGTTTTCAAGATTTGTGTAATATTTGATGTAGGTTTGAAATTATAAGTTGAACGCATAATTTTAGGTTATTTGCTTACTCTGTTTTTCCAGAATAATCATTTTTATTGTGCAAAATGACCCAAAAATAAGAGAAATAAAAAAGGTTTATCTCATATCTGAGGCTAAAAATAGCACAAAAATTGATATACAATTCAATTCTGAGTAACTATATTTCTTTCTTCTCATTTGCATATTTTACCATTTTAAGCGGCCCAATTAATATATAATGTAAAATATGATTGAAAGAATTATCAAATCTTATGTTACTATAATTAGACTTTTGGACCTCAGTGGAGCACCTTTAAGCCTTTTTCGGCCTGTTAGACAGTTAATATACTAAATGTTCCATTTCTTGTACAGTTTTATTTGCCAACAATACACATTAACTCATTTTCTGGGTTTGAAATGATTTACTTTATGTATGAATTTGTTATAAGTATTACATGTATTTATGATATCTGTGGTTCAAATGCCAGTTTTCTTACTTTTATCCATATCTTTCCATAAATGTATTGGTTTTATTTGTAGTATATACATTTTATATACACGTGCATGTGTAATTATAAAAATAACACATGTCTGTTAGGGTAAAAGTGGACATTAGCAACCCAAGAACTGAAATAAAACTTAAGATGGCAGAGCTAATGGGGTTATTTGAGTACAAGGGTTGATAATATGCAGTATTACCCTGAGAGACAATTACACCCAACGTTGATTATATCAGGGGAGAGAACTAAAGCATTACATTTTCTTAAGTCTATACAGATTACTTGCCCTTGGGGAATATTACAAACTGGGTGATATTCATTTCCAGGATGATAGATCAAAATAACACCATGTAACGTCAAATTAGGCTATGTAGTAAATATTTACTGAGGTATAATAAATAGAAAATATATATTTAAAACAATAAAAAAATGATTCCATTCCTATAATTGTAAGAAATGTCCCATATGTGTATACTATATGCATGCAATTGCAGTTATTTATGTTCTTAAAGAATGACTAATTGACAAATGTTTCTACATGTATTAATTGAGGGTTGACCACAAAACTGTTGTAAGTCCTTCTTATTTCATATAAGTTACTGCAGTTTTGCATTCAAACCTCATCATATATACTCCAAAAAGTCCCGGAATTATTGTTTTGTTAAAATGATGTTTGACCACTATCTGTTCTTATATATGCTGCCTGTAAATTATAAAAAAAAACAACTTTTTTTTAAATTTATTGTTAAGATTAGTTGTTAATTGTTAATTTTTCAAGTTGTATATTATTTTTTTTAATATCTAATTTGTTGTAAAAAACAGTTATTTTTTCATAGTTTAGTATTTTTCTTATACATTGTATATTAGTAAAATAGTTAATCAATTTTAATATATTTACAAATTGTTATACTTACTTCTACTTAGCAATTCCCTATTACCGGTACTTAAGAAAATGTACATCAATAATATATCTTAACATAAAACCACGGTTATTTAGAAAATGTACATCTATAAATTAATCTAACTAATATACATGTACACCTTCATATAACATCATCATTATTTAAAATATGTTCAATTATAAATCTAACATACATGTTCACAAGTCCTCCATTTTTTAGAAAAAGTACATCTATAAATCTAACATTACACCCTTAAAAGATAATACTTTTTCTTTTCAAGTTGAGAAAACCAAGTCATATCCATGTCTAGATTGTAGATTCAATTTGGGTTTATATGGCATGATTGTATGTTTCAAAGAAAAGATAAGAATGGCATTGACTTATTATAATTGATAAACGAGGGACATGTGGCCTAATGGTTACGTTTTCTACCTTCTTGCGTTATGACATTAATTTGAGTGAAAGAAAAGTGTCTTCTTAGGACAGCTAATAAAGAAAAGGACCAGAAAAGAGACGGCAAAGAGTTTAATATCAGTGGGTTGAACTTAATTCTTTCTCACAGTCAAGCTAAGCCCTTACCAAGCTAAAGATGTGCTGGCTGTGCTGGCTGTGGTCACATGGGTAGGTACATTCACTGCCAGCTGGTTTATGGTTAAATAAATACATTATATACAATCATGTACTCATGTTTTAGATAAATAAAGTGCAGTTTTAAGTGTCTTCCAGAAATGTAATATGTAAATCATATATTATTTTGCAACTTTATGCTAGAAGATTATGTTATATAACAAAGCAGTAAGGCGAGTAATTTACTTAGGAAATATATTATCAATTTTGAGTGCATTGTTGTTCAATAATGCACGAATCAAGTTTGAATGCTTATGAATATAATTCCGAAGGTCAATAGGCCTGAGTGATTAATTGCTAGGCATTTGAATTATAAACTGCATTATTATACTATAATGCAAGAAAAATTTAAATATCTAATGCCACTCTAACATTACTAATAAAAAAAGAATCAATTAAAATTTGTAGAACTACATTGAGTGTAGAAGTTTTCCTAACGTCATTTGTTTTATTAACGTTATATCTAATTTTAATTTTCATAGAACTTTTACATTCACTTTCATGTTATACAGTATACTATAGTATATTTTTCATGAACTTTTTGCCATAATACTTAGCATAACATGAATAAC